GGGCCTTGGGGTCGACCTCTGTCCCCCTGCCAATACAGACTGCGTACGGTCGGTGAGGAAGGAGGAGAACCACCGCATCACAGTGCCTCCCACTCCCAACCCACCCAAACGCCGCAGCATGATACTGTGGTCCACAGTATCAAAAGCCGCTGAGAGGTCCAAAAGAACTAGGACAGAGGAATAACCCCTGTCCCGGGCCTGTCAAGATCACATTACTTGGAAAGTAATTTAAAAAGAATAAAGGAAAATAGAACAGTCCACAGTTTGGCATGTTCTATCACAATGAAGAGCTTGCAAGACAAATTCTGTGTAAAGAAATTAGGGATTCAAATTATTACTAAGCATAATATTTCAAATAAAATTATATTTCCATGCATAGCCTAAATTAGCATTAAATACTAATTCTGTAATTTGTGCTGAGATTTAGCATTACCCTAAAACCAAATTAAAAGCCTAGTGCAAATTCGTGGCTATATATATCATATATCCATAAAATAAGCAGTGTTGAAGGAAAAGTCTTCATCAGGGTTCAGTCCAAGCCAGGAATAAACAACATGGTGACTGCTTTAGAAAGAAGGTTGCAGTTTATTGAAGAGGAGAGCCAGACAGAAAGATGGCTCTGGAAGAAAAGAGTAGCACATGTAGTAGGGAGTGGGTTTTACACCCTCTTGGGCTTTTGTTTGGAGTTGTTTCCTGTTCCTGTTTGAGGCTGTGTATTTCCTGTGTCTTGTACTTTGACCTGAGTCTGAGTGTGCCCCTTTGGTATCTGTGGGTGAATCCTATTATGTCCTGTCCTAGAGTTTGGGTGGGGTATGTAGATTTTAGGTGTCTTTGTCTTCCTAAGCTTCTAGCTGGGGGGCTCCAAACTTCCTGAATGCATTTCTACAGAGCTGGTTTCTGCTTGGGGGAGGAGACTTGGTGCTATTAAGAAAAACTGGGCATGCTTTTTTTTTAAGATCCTTTGAGGAAATATAATATTCTGCCCTTTTAATATTTCCTTCTCTGGGGTGGGGGTTGATCTCCCACAGCAGGATTCTCAAAACAAATATTCTCTGCTTCCTTTTCTGCATTTTTACAGCTTCTTGGAGATTCCAAACACTAATCAGAGATTGCTGGGCAGATGGCAGTTGTGCTCCTTCCCAATTTCCTTCTCCACATTTTTGCCCTTTGTTTTAAAAAGACCAACCCCTTTCTTATCAAAAGAAGAGAGTGGCTGCTGACCTGTATGTGACAAAGAGCTATTCCTCACTCAAGGGGATATAGATTGTACATATACAATATGAAATACAGTCTCCATTCAGAATATGAACACTAAACACTCCAAAGTTTAAAATTATTTTGTTCTACAGCTGATTGTGCTATGTCCTGAATAATAGATATTCCTTGCCTTGAGCAGATTCACTTCAGTCTTTTAGTACAAGGCAACACTATTTTGGAGGCAAGGTTGCAAGCAGAGCAATTTGCTAACTATAGATGTACAAATCTAGCTATAAATAACAAGATAGCAAGCATTTTAAATTCTACATTGGAAAGGAGGTTTTTCTTACATAATGCTTAGTGCTTCTATCTGAATCTACAGGAGTAGTTTTCCTAAGCTATGCTAGAGAAGAGCAGAAGTTTGCAAACTCCACTTCTTTTATCTTGTTTAAGAGAGAGCTAAATGAATTTTCCCCTCACCATATTACTAGATCTCTAGGCCATCTAATAGAATTGATGGGCAAGAGATTTGGAAAACTTCAAAGGAAATACATTTTTACACCATGCTAATGGACTTCACTTGCACAAGCTGTGAGAATTGCCCTTAGTTTAGACCAGCCTGGAACACACACATGCACAAACATATACATTCTTGGAGGATAACATTATTAGCCACTATACATTCATAGCTAAATGAATGAAAATTCCAGGCTCAGAGTCAAAGGGAGAATGTCTTTCACATAACTTTATCTGATAAGAATGATGTGTAAAAATGCTGAAAAGAAAGGATAATCCACAGGGTATTTCCTTTGCCTGCAATTTACTAATTGCATTTATTTTTCTTCCTAGGAGTGTTATGAGAGAACCTGTATTAAATGATCTACTTCCTTCATGCATTATCACTGGAAAGATCTCTATTATGCCTGCAGTGAAAGAGTTCAAAGAGAATGCTGTTGTGTTTGTAAATGCTCCCACTGCAGAGGAAGTAGATATTGTTGTCTTTGCCACTGGATACAAAGCTTCTTTTCCCTTCATTGATGAATCAATCCTCAAGGTTGAAAACCGTCATGCTTCCTTGTATAAATACATCTTTCTTCCTCAACTAGAGAAACCAACACTAGCCATTATAGGCTTCATCAAGCCATTTGGTGCAATCATGCCAGTTATGGAAATCCAAGCACGCTGGGTCACACGTGTCTTTAATGGTATGTAGATTGAGTTGCAATCCTTTAATGAGTCCTTGAGCATATCTATTTTATATGCAAAATGCTGCTGGACATCAGATATGAACTAAAGTTGGTATTCTTTGATAGTAACTTCCCAGCAGAAGTTACCAGCCTGATTTCAGACATACCCCTGCTCAGTACCATCACAAATTAATTGTAGACAGCCAGCTCAGCCAAGGCCATTACTAACAATAGTATTACTATCATATCTCAGATCTTAATAATTAACTCCAGGCAGCCCCTTCTGAGACACTGACCAAATCCATTCTTGCTTTTCCTTAGCAGAGTGGTGGCATCATGTACCTTCTTATACTTTTGCCTTAGAGCAGGGGTTCCCAACCAGGGGTGCTTGCACACCCTGGGGGTGCTCGACAATATTCCAAGGGGTGCAAAAATTTGGATTTTCAAAATTATAGCATAATTCATTGCTGTTATTTCAAACTTTTGTAAGGGATGCGAGAATGTATCAAGCATTCTAGGGGTCGAGGTATAGAAAAGGTTGGGAGCCGCTGCCTTAGAGGATTTCCCCTTGTTTAGTTTTTGAAACTATCCTACTTTATTAATCTAAGACTAGTCATAACAAACCGAGTTCATCTTGTGTGCTGCTCGACTCTGCTTACTCAAATAAGTCCGCATTTTTCTGCCTTCTAAAATAGAAGTACTTGGAGATTCAAGGGGCCTATTCTAACTTCACAGTATTTCCATTCAATTTCCATAATAACTTCCATTCCAAAGTGTTCTGATCCAAACAAGAGATTTGCTTTATTCCTGTTTGTCACAGACAGATTAACTCCAAAGACAGATTAATATTCAGATTATTTATTCTTCAGGAATCTCTAAACAATAACTCACAGTTAAGAAGAGTTCTTCTGAGGCACATATCATAATCTGCCCGTTTTTGTGGTGTAAAAAATTAAAGGTAGATTCACCCCATGTTCGTACGGAGCAAAGGGTCCTGTGTCTGTACTACACAAACTTTGCATGCTGGCACGTAGCCAGGAAATCCTGTCATAAAACATTGAAGTCCTCCCAATGGCTAATTAAGACATAGAACTGACCAATTAGAACACAGATATAACCATGTAACAACTAAACTACATTTCCCAGAAGGCTACCCTTAAGGAGACAGCATTTAACCCCTTAAATGCTACTTGCTCTGAACACAATTTCCTAAGCTAGCTACAATCTGGCTAGATGGCTACACACTGGTCCAGCACACAAAGATTGCATCCATTAGATGCCTCAGATGAACTGAGGCACAGACCCCTTCTCACTTCTACTCTTTAAACCCATTTATTTACTTTATCTCTTCACTCTTGTTTGCAGGGTTGAAATGCAGGAGGGGGAAGCCAAGTCAGAGGCTGCAACTTGTTTCACTTGTCAGTGTTTTGATGGTGGGGACTATTTTTAAGATTAAGGTGAAAATACTAGAAGGAAGCCGTGGGGTGGCAATTTACATCCATTTCAATTCTCAAAATATATCTCAGAATATATCTCTAAGGAAAACAAGTACACCTTCAACTGTAATCAGATCACTCCAATTACATAATAATCTCAGGATCGTTTCCATTTGAGCATTTTTTATTTGCTACATCTTCTTTGAAAGATAGATAGCCGGTTTTTCTGTTTGGTAATAGTCTTCCATTAAAATTATTGTTTACTTCCTTTGGCGCATAAAAACATTCTGAAATATTGCTGAAACATTCTCTCTCCTTTCAGGTTTGTGTAAATTGCCTCCACCCAAAAGCATGATGGAAGAAATCAATGAAAAGAAAAAAAACAAAGTCAACTGGTAAGTCTTTTTATGTAATGAAGACCATGTTGAACCAAATCTCCTTGGCTAGAAAAAAATGCACTGCAATTATTAGCTGACCAGCTTCCAGCTGTGGGGAGAATCCAGAGAAATAAATATTTTGGGAAATATTAAAAAGGCAGAATATATTTCTCCAAAGGATTTTAAAGGCAGAAACTAACCCACCCACCCAATCTCTCTGCCCCAAACAGAAACCAGGTCTGCAGAAATGCAAATGTGATAATCTTGTCAGAAAGATTTTAGTCAGGAAGCTGGGATTACAAAGAAAGATCCCTAGAATCAACAATCCCTCACACCAAAAAAAATCCAACAGTCATCAGCCACAGCCCCAGGGAAGCAGGATATGACCTTTGGGACATAATAGGATTAACCCACCACCATCAGAATACCAGAAAGGCACACTCAGACTCAGGTCAAAGTTCATGCCACAGGAACAACTCCAAACAAAAGCCCAAGAAGGTATGAAAACCCACTCCCTACTACATGTGGTCAGTTTTTTTCCAGAGCCATCTTTCTGTCTGGCTCTCCTCTTCAATAAACTGCAACCTTCTTTCTAAAGCAGTCTCTATGTTGTCTGTTCCTGACTTGGACTGGACCCTGATGAAGATTTTTCCTTCAACACAGCACATGTTTGAACTTCAGAAAACACTAAAAAAAATTATACAGCATAAACATTGATTACTAATATTTTTGTATTGCATGGCAGATAAACTATCTGATCATAAACTAAAGCTGCTTCAAATGAGACAGGAACTAATATCTCTACTAAAGATCTCTTTGTCCAGAACTAAGAGGAATTTGTGTGACATGGATAAAATCCTCAGCTAACGGCCTAAGCCTACTACCGGTAGTTCAGGTCATGTGCCTAACTACTGGCAATATAGTTAAAAAGGCTGGGAGCACTAAATTTTATTTCCATAAATGTTAATTGAACTTAAACCAGATTTAATCTTTTATACAACCATTCCATAAGCCTCACCAGCTTGATTTTAAATTCAGTTCTACTAGAGGGCTGTTTCAATGCACATGATGACACAATTTGAATATCTTAATAATGTACTATGATCATTCTTGGAAAACATGCTAATATATAGCATAATGAACATCAAAACAATATTTGAGAGATTAGAAATTTTCCCTGTCTAGTCATGATGAATCTAATTAGGGGGAAAGATTAGTAGGTTGTTATAAGTCATACCACTCTGCACTGTATTTTAGATTCAGGATCCACTAAGTCCCAAGATTTTAAGTATGATATTTTATTTTTAAGATTTTTATCCTTACTTTTCTGCCCTAAATAGTTCTGAGTGCCTTGAAATAAAAATAAGCACAATTATTAATACACATACAAAGCAGAATAGGTAACAACCATTTGATTGCAACTAATTCCCAAAATATTATATATGTCATCTGCTTTTAAACTCAATTTCTCTTAATTATTCCAGATTGCAGACACTTATCTTACTTCTTCAATATACATATTAATCTGCAGCTCATAGTCACAGCTTAGCCCAGAGAATAGAATAGAATAGAATAGAATAGAATAGAATAGAATAGAATAGAATAGAGCTGAAAGGGACCTTGGAAGTTTTCTAGTCCAGCCCCCTGCTCAAGCAGGAAGACCTATACCATCTACGACAGGTGATTGTCCAGTCTCTTTTTAAAAACTTCCAGTGATGGAGCACCCACAATTTCTGAGCAACTAGTGTTAATTGTACCTGTCTCAGACTTACTACTCCCACCTGATTTAAGACTCCATGAATTCATAAATAAAAAAACAAAAGTTTAAAGAAAAAGCAGCTTCAAGCACCTCCCTCCTCATCTGGAGATAGAATCCTTGAAATTGCACCTTATATTTGTGTGCATTTGTCTGGTGGTGTCTGTAGTTTTGGAGAACTACATCATCTCCCCTTCATGGTGGCACCTCAGCCTAGCAAATGAAAGATACTTCCCTTGCAAAGCTTGCAAAGTGCTGTATGATTGCTGACTTTCATGTTAGCATTACAAGGCTCAAGTGGGAGAAATATGAGCTTTAAATCAAGGACAATGTCTGGCAGTATTTCCCATCAGTAAAAAGATGCCATCATAGTTCAAAACAATACAGGGTAGACCTCACTTAGCAACATTCTTGTTTAGCAACCATTCAAAGTTACAACAGTGTAAAACAAATCAGCTTTGTGACCAATCCTTGCATTTGTGACTGTCGTTAATGTGCTTCACAACTGCTTTCTGACAAGCACAATTAATGGAGAATGTAGAAATAAAATCACAAGTCACAGTCATGTGATATCTCATTTAACAAACACAGTGATTTGTCAAACAACTGAATGGGAAGTGACATTATAAGCCTGTTGCAGTCACATGATTTTCCACTACAGTGGTTAGCAATAGAATTGCCAGTCCCAATTGTGGTCATTAAGCATGAACCACCTGTAAATATGGAAATTCTGCCTTTACAGTAGACCTTGTTTAATGACCACAAATAGGACCAGCAAATTGGTCATTAAGTGAAGTGACTGCTAACCACAACCAAGCTGATAATCTTACTTCAGCTTTCCGTTGCTTTACAGATTTGCAGTCATAAATGCAAGCATTTTTCACGAAATTATTTTGTCCATCCTCATTGCAACTGCAAATGGTTGCTAAATAAGTCAGTCATTAAATGAGGACTACTTACAGGAACATTTTCTTCAAGTGATGTCTCAAATTTTGCATGCAGATTTTGTTCATTTTCTGGAACAATCAATCTATGAACTGATTTCCTGATGAGAATTATGCTTGTAGCTCAGAAAAGCGATGAAATAACAAATAAAACTGGCTTTCCTGGGGTCCCTGCAAGTATTTTGATTTTGTAATTCAAACAATCATAGCTTAATCACAAAGCACTTGTTTTTCGTGCAGGTCACATAAAAATTGATGACATGTTCAGCTTTTAAAGTATCTTGAATGGAAAGAGTGAGTACAAAATATTAGGACAACTGAACAGATGATGGATTGATTCTGTTTTCACTGGTCAGCGTTACAAGCTGAATGTCTAGTAGCCTATACATAGTTGAGTTTCACTAGGTCAAGGAGCATACAAGTCCCTCTCAGTGGTGGGATTCAAATATGTGAACAACAGGTTCTCTGTGTGGATGCCGCTTCTGGAAGTCCATTCTGGGCCTGGGCAACAAAAAATTAGCTACCGACTTCCAGTCTTGTGCAGTAGCGCAGCAGCCAAGGGATTTAGGGGACCCTAAATGGGCCAGAAGCCGCCCCAAAGAGGCAGCAAAGAAGGAAGGAAATCCCGCAGACCTGGCAGTCGACCCGATCGGTCCGGGAGAAGCCTTCCAGAAACCAACAGGAGAAAGGATAGCCTAACTTCAGAGTCTAGCCCAAGCTACAAGCAACCGAAGTCAAAAAGCACTATTTTAAGCTGATTGTAAATAGCGCGTTTGAATCTGGGTAAGATCATCGATTTTCTCTATCCTACTTATTAACTTTTCTGGGGAAAAAAATTCCCAAGAAGCAAAAAACCTCTGAATGTGAAGGAGGGGAATTTTTGCCCCACCTTTTTACTAACGGAAGCGGCGAATTAAACCTTTTATGGAGGACCAAAATTTATAGAAATGAAATGAAATGAATATAAAACCTAAATTTGGATAACTTTGGAATTGTTGAAGGGCTAAGATTCTCATTTTAAGGGCAATTTTCTATTTTGATAATTTGAAAAATAAACTGGTGCTGACATCTAGTGGTGGATAAAGACTATGACAGCTATGGCTTTTATACAGGATTTGACAAAATCTGGAAAAAAACTAATCTGTGCTTGTGACCTTCAAAGCTATAACAATAGAGAATAGCTGTGACAAAAAAGTAAACAATTTGGGTTGCAGACAAAGAGATGATTATAAACTTCAGGAAACCTTTTTGAACCTTTTTGGATTATAAATATCTACTAAACTGTGACTCTAAAGCTATTTGCAGAGAAAAGAAAACCTCGATTCTTGACCACTATGGAAAATCAGAGACCTGCAGAAATAACTTATCAAGAAAAAATAAATACCTTTCAAGAGGAGACATATGAGATGCTGCAACTAATTCAAACAACAATGACTTCAAACCACAAAGAAATCCAAAATAACTTTGAAAACATAAACCAATTCATCTCCAATTTAACTTTACAACAAAAAAATCCCAGGAAATAACATTAGAGAAGGAGCAGATAAAACAGATAACTGAACATAAATTCGAGGATAGAGACTCAAAGATGGATCTTAACACAACAAAGAAGTATGATTTAACCCAAGTGGAAAAAAATTTCAAGAAATATTAGTTTTGGAAAAGGCAACTTATACTTTAAGACCACAAGACAAATTTGAGGATAAGAAAAAAGACTGGTCAAAATAGATTGCAGAGACATCAAGAACACCACTAGAACTGGAGAGACAAAATATGATAAGAGATACAGAGAGAAAAAGAAAGAAAAAGATTTTCAACAAACATGAAAGAGCAAATGCCTCTTACAAAGATATTGTACTTGACTTATTTTTTACATCTACAGTGACACCTACAAGAATATGGAAAGACTCTTTGATTCCGCAGAATATATTGATTAAAGATATTGGGCAAAAGAAGAAGGCCGAAGTGAAAATTAAGAAAATAGATGATGGGACTTATCAGAGAGAATATTTAAAAAAAGAAACACCTTTGAATATGGTTAAAGTAATAGAAAGATTTTGGATATGAATTTTACTTTAAGAGGGAGGAGTCCCTCAAATAACATAGTACTCTCTCTATCTTCTCTTTTCTTATCTTATTTCTTGATATGAGTAATATAAAAGAGTTAGAATGGCTTATATGTAAGGACATATTTTAAACATTTAAATGTGATTGATTTTAAGAAAATTACAATGGATTGAAAAAAAATGTTTTGAATAAGAGTTAAAAGACCAGATGACTAGATTTAATAAATGGAATATTTAAAGATTAAATATATTCTTAATTATGGTAAAAAGAATGGAAACATTTTGGAAATAAATATATACTGTATTAGCTTAGGGGAAACATGGACTTTCAATAGTATACTATTTTTTATCCCTCTTTACTCTTGTTCTTTTTTCTCTTTTTTTAGTCTTATTTATTCCTTAAGCAAGGTAAAAGTTATGAGATGGTTTACATGAGAAAAAATAGAATCAAATATTTAAATGTAATTAACTTTGAGAAAAATCTTAATCAGTAAGAATGTCTTGAATATTGTGGGAAAAACAAATGTAAACAAGAACTGTAAATGGGATCTATGATGAGGCAACCAAAATGACTAGATAGAAAAGAAATATTATATTGATGTGATTATTATTTGCGGAAATATTAGGAAAATAATTTATATTCAATTGTTATCTATCAAAACAATAAGAATTGTATTAACTTAAGGTTGGTAAAAGAGAACATTATGGGAAGAAGAGGAAATCAAGTAAAGCTATTATGTGGATTATAGATCATAGAAACCAATTGTTAGTGAATGTTTTTTAAATGTAAACCCAGACAACACACTGTTTACCAAATATTAAGGTAATCATGTTAAACAAATTAATAAAATATATTATAATTAAAAAAAAATAGCTACCAGTTCTGCCGAAGTGGTGCGAACTGGCTGAATCCCATCACTAGTCCCTCTTCAAAAAGGTTTTACAAAGGGGCACAGTAGTCCTCACTTCTAAAACAGAAGCAGCTTCTCTTCTTCATTTGGAGGTGCTCCAGGACCTCCCTCACAACCTGGACTAGCATTTTGATTACTGGAAAAAGTACTGCACAAGAGCCCCTTTCAGATACTGGAAATGCTAGTTGAAATTGTGCTGCCTTCATACCTCAGTCAGGTGAATTGTGTCGCCTCTGCTGTATGAGGCAAATAATGGTATTGCACACATTGCTAAATTCATTTCAAATGGTAAGTATTTCTGCTTATCTAAATTAAATCATAACAAGTACAATATAATGTTTCCAAACAGAATTGTAGAAATTTTAAGTTTTGGAGGAAGCTAAATATTAATGTTCCAGACTCCCCAAGAAAAAGAACAGAATTTTCAATGCCAGGTTTGTATTTAATTTGCTAACTGTACATATTTGCTATCTCTTCCTTTGTTCTATTTGATTAAGGTTTGGCTTGTCCTTTGATGAAGTCCTGAAAACAGATTGCCTTGTGTACTGTGATGAAATTGGTTCCTTCATTGGTATAAAACCTAGTGTGCCAGCTCTACTTCTCAAAGATCCCATGCTAGCAATGAAGATTTTCTTTGGCCCCTGCTCTCCCTACCAATATCGTCTGACTGGACCAGGAAAGTGGGATGGGGCCAGAAATGCCATCCTGAACCAGTGGGGACGAGTCCTGAAGCCCATAAGAATCCGAGTTGTGGAAGATCCCTTGAATTGCTTCTCTTGCCTATTGAAAGGGCTTGCCCTATTTGTTATCTTGGTTGGAATTTACCTTAGTTTCAATTAATTTTTACAGACCACTTTGGGACAACCAGGTGCAAATCTTTCTTTTAAAAAAGATGTGCTACTCCAGGCACCTCTTCAAAAAGTTAGAATTCTCTAATTGCTATTACAAATGTTAATTTTGAATTTATTTACTTGACCAGATAGTAATCAGATTAATTACATTTGATTTTAGTTAAAAGTAAAAAAAGATGTAAATGTTGACCTGACATAGTTAACTATTTTTTGAAGGGGAACCTTGGTATGCTACACGAAAGCCAGCATTTAGCCTTCAGCTTTAGCCATGACATTTTCTTGAGTTTGTTTTAGTCATTCAGATAATATAAAAAGTCCTGCTAGAATATATAAAAGTTTCAACTGATTGATCTTTCTGTGGCCAGAAAAGTAGGACACGATTAAACTTACTGTTCCCCAAAAGCCAGTGGCCAGAGCCATTGTGATTAATACTTATTGACAGAAATACTTTTCACAAGTGTTTCTAATCCCCTTCAAAATCATTCAGATCCAACTCCACATTGTTTGAGCAAATTCCATATTTCATGTGAAAGATCCCACTCTGCTTTCTAAAGCCAAACAATTACATTGCTGTGTTTTGCATTGATCTTATATCATCTGGCAATTCTACTTGCCTAAGAGATTCCAATGCTTGTGCAGGCATCTCTTCCTGCCTGTCAGTCCTTCAAGGTAATACAGGCAGGAAACCAAAACATGGGTACGAATGCTACCTTTATTGTAAGGATATAGTAACAGAGTTTAAAAGCATTTCTCTCCCCCACCCCCACCCCCCGCCTTTACTTTCCACAGAATTAGGAAGAGTCTCTTCTGAGATGCTTTTTCCACCTGCATTCCTCATTTGGACTCAAATTTTGTTTATCAGACCATTGTTTAGACTTCAGTTCTTCCTCCTGTCTCGCAAGGTTATTTTCACAGCCCATTACATCACCCTTCTAGTTAGCACCTGAAAGAATCAGAGACTTTGGTCATATCTACTACAGGTAGTCCTCAACTTACAAACATTGGTTTAGTGATCATTCGAAGTTACAATGTCACTGGAAACAGTGATTTATTACCATTTTTTTCTCTCTTACAACTGTCACAGCATCCTCATGATTACATGATCAAAATTTGGTCACTTGGCAATTGACATGTATTTATTTTTTTTATAAATGTTTTATTAATTTTCTGTTTTTACAAACAAGTGCTCAATAGACCAGGGCTTTTCAACCAGTGGTACGGGTACTACCTGTGGTACATTGGCACCTGGCAGGTTGTACGCGACCATCCTAGAAAAGTGGTAGCGGGGGAGGGGAATGAGCTGAACCGGTGGCAGCACTGCACAAGCCTGAGCGAGAGATGGCTGCAGCAGCAGGGCTGTCAGGGCTAAGCGGAAGCACCAGGATCAGTGCCGCTTTCCAGCTGATCGGCGCTTCTTCGGGGCTGTCAGGGCTCAGTGGAAGCACCAGGATCAGTGCCAGGCTCCAGCTGGAGCTCGGCACTGATCTTGGTGCTTCTGCTGAGCCCTGAAGAAGCACCAATCAGCTGGAAAGCAGCACTGATCCTGGCACTTCTGATGAGCCCAGAAGAAGCACCGATCAGCTGGAATGTTGCAGCATCTCCAGGGTCTTGTGATTTACATTCAGATGCTTGACAAATGATTCATATTTATGACGGTCACAGTGTCCCAGGGTCATGTGAAGTGACCAAAACCTGTTGCAACCACCCAGCAGACGGTGGGAATAAAAACCAAACACCCCCCACTCCACCCCCACGGCCAATCCTCAACAGAAATGCTCACAATGATGAAAACCTCGGACAGGAGGAAGAGCGCCGCTGGGCGGGCAGGCTGTGGCTTGGGGGGGCACTTTTTTTAGTGCCATTGTAACTTTGAACAGTCACTAAGCGAACTGTTGTAAGTCGAGGACTACCTGTACTTTATCACTTTTTTCCTTTTTTGGGGGGGGTCATCAAGTTTTTGACACCTTGCTAGGTGACTGGTGGTACTCGGATGTTGCCATATCCTAAAAGTGGTACAATGGGTGAAAAGGTTGAAAAGCCCTGCAATAGACAACGTGATGACTGAGTCAATTAGTGATTCTGTGGTACATATAAGTTTCTTCCAACTAAGTCTAATATTAAACCTGCCAGTACATCCTCTCTTCTTTTGGTAATAACCATTTTTCCAGACTGAGCAAATACAATTCTTATTATTGTTAGAAAACATACAATTGCATATCAACATTTGTTACATTTTTCTAATGATATTAATAATATCAGTTTAAAATATCTTTTCTAGCCAAAGCATATCTTAGTTGCATTTGCACTCAATTTCCACTTATTTAATCCATATCCTATTTTTGCTTTTTTCAATTTTAATTTCCCATCCATTGTTCAAAATATCCCAATCATTTATAATTTCAAAACAAGTTATATTTGGGCAACCAAAAGCATCCCTTATTCAAATTCTTAACATATTCTTATTTCCCTTTTCATACCAAGATATAATATTCTGATTACAAATCCTAGTTATAATAATACTTCTATTTCTAACAATTTATTCTTAACCATATTCAAACCTCTAATTAATATAGCATCCCCTCTAATAGGTCAAAGCTTCTGTTTCCCTCAATCTTACTCTAGCTCTAAATTTCCAAGTCAGTGCATTTGGATCATCAAATAATTCTTCCTCTATTTTTGTATATATTATTTGAAAAAAGAAAAACAGTTTGGTTAAAGTGTTTTTGGAAGAGCTAGCCCATTGATATTCATTAAACATGCTCCCTCCTTCTCCAGTTCCCCACAGTTCTGTTAACGACTTTATCTTCCATTCCATCTGCTCTCCTTCCTTGTCATCCAGTATGTTCTGAAATCTTAGTTTATAAAATGTCTTTTCCATTTCCAATATTATCATTGTGTCTTCTGAGTTTTCGTTTATATGAATCTGGTCATTAGTTTCTTCTTTTAGATCGTCAATGTTTGTGTCAGCATTCTCTAGTTTTCCTTCTATTTTCTGGGTTGCTGGTTCCTTCTCTGTAATTGTTTTCAGAGTTTGTAGATTTAAATTAGAAAATTGTTCTTTTATCTCCTTTGTGTTATTATTAACTTGCTCACAAGCTAAAGTAATTGTTTTTGTATTAATTTCAACATGGAGAGAATTACTTTCTGTGTTTCATCAGTATTTTCTTGGTGATATGGCAAGTTAAGGCTACTGAGAACAGATGTTAAAGATGGTGTTTTACTATTTAATACTGAATATGAAACATCCATTTTATTTTATTTTTTATAAGTAGCCTTTATAGATTTATCCAAACAACTGTCCGTTCCTGAATCTCCCCTAAGCAGATATAAGTAAAATTCAAAATTTTCTGTCCAATAAGAAATATATCCTTTCTGTCCAGGTAGAAAAAAGAACAATTGAAGGTTGTGTAATAATCAAAATTTATAATCCAAAGTGTTCCATATGTTTCTTCTACAAGAAAATAAATTCACAATACAATTCTGAAAGTCAGTATTTATGTTCAAAATTCAGACAGGCCAAATTTAGAATGTTTATCATCTCTGCCACACAGATAAGCAGCCCCCAAGCCTGTTCCTTTTTTCTCAGCTGCAATTTCTCAATAGTAAAAGCTTCCAAGGCCAGCCAAAGTCTTATCTAGTTCTGGGCTTCAAGCCAGGTTTCTTTTAGGCATAAATAAGTTGTAGTGCCATAATTCACCACTAGATATCATCAACGCCGCTTTCCAGTTTTTAGATCCAAAACTTATATTGTAAACTTTTCAAGTCTTTTTTTTATTAAAAACAAGGTCTTAAAAACACTTTTGGTCCCCAAATTGTCAAGCTGTATGTATATATTAATCCCAGATAAGTCTTATAGGTTTTGCCATTTTCTCCAAGTAATTAACTCACCGCTTTTCTTTTCTGAGGGAATGGGGTGGAAATTCCCTTTCCCTCTTTTCATTGGGGGGAGTGCTTTGGGCAGATTTTCAGGAAAAGGTCTTAAAATCATAAAGAAAGGATCAGGTCTCACCCAGTTTCATCTATATTACTGTAAAGTTGCTTGGTAGTGCTTGTTGACTTCCGTTGTCAGCAGCTTTGGACTGGCTACACAAATGCAACCAGTCTTTCCTCTGCTGGTTTGGAGGTCTTCCTTGGAGCAAACGGGAGGGCTGCCCCCCCGCGATCAATGAGAGTCCCCTCCTTGCCACCTCTATGGGGCAACTTTCAACCCTTTCCAGGGTCCCCCAGCAGGGCGAAACCAAATGCGAAAGACGGAGCCCCGTCTTCCTGCATCTGCAATGCCACAACGTCAAAACAAGAAGTCGCAATTGACATGTATTTATGACAGTTGCAGATTCCCAGAGTCATGTGATCAACCTTTTGCGACTTCTGACGAATACAGTCAATGGGGAAGCCAGATTCACTTATCAACCATGTTATTAATGATTCACTTAACAACTATGGCAAGAATGGGGCAAAACTCACTTAACAACTGTTTTGCTTAGCAACAGAAATTTTTGGCTCATTGTGGTCATAAGTCAAGCACTACTTGACTTGGATTGGAATTGCCAAATGAAACTTCGTCTGAAACACTCTGATGTGAATTACTGCCATGTCACTATGGCATCAAGCACCTCTTCAAGGGCAAACATAGCCATTTCACAAAGTTTATTAACTATAGTAGTTAATGGCTTGAACTTACTGTTACCCTTCCTCTCTCTGCTGAGTGTCATGTCTCGTAATTCTGGATTCTCTAATCATTGACTTTCAGCTTTTCTTTTATCCATTCATTGGTACCATCAGAGAGGTACACTGTAAATCAGACGTTAAAATTGCAATTTCCTCTTAGTACAAGAATATCAGGCCACAGCGAAGCATTGTCTGGCACTTAGCAGCCAACTAGATACATTTGCAAAGGTAAAGAACTAACATCCAAAGGGAGTCCAAATCAATCTATCTTTGGTGTTTCAAAGAGAGATTAGAGTTCCATGGCTACAGATTTAAACTAATCAACTTGTTTTCATTTGGAAGGCTCCCATGCAGGAATTAACTTTTTCTTCAGAATCTCTGACCAATAGCTGTACAACCTCCCCTCCTCCATTGATAAGATGCCTTGTTTGGACTGATATTGCAAACACAAGAAAACTAGGCTAAGAGATTTGTTTGAATGTTGCCTTCT